GTCACTCTAGGTGGGGAAGTACCTGAATGCCCAGGATTACCAGCAGAAAATAATTCCCGTAATTGTCAAGATGTTCTCTTCCCCGGACAGAGCCATGAGGATACGGTTACTGCAGCAGGTGTGTAAACGCCACTCTCCACTCCGGAGGGGCAGTTTATGTAGGAAAACCCTTCTCGATGTGTGACATAATCTAGACTCCTCATTTGAGCGCTTTAGGCAGGTCCCCAACACTTTTGGTGTTCATTTGCATGTGTGGGAATTAGAGAAGCTGTCATGGACGCCCCCACAAAATGGCTACCGCAGGAGGTCCAGTTAGTCACAGAATAGTTTCCAGGAGGACGTGGCTTATCAGAACAGATAAATAACTTGCCCCAGAAGCAAAGCACAAGATAGAATCTCGTCTGCACTCCCAATGTCAGTATATTTGACTCAACAAAAAGTAACAAATGATACTTATTTCACTGAAGGAAAACCGGGAAAGCAAATGGATAAGACTCAAGGGAAACAGTGTGCCTAAAACACTGAGGGTGAGGCAGAGGCTAACACTCAGTTGCATGCTTGTTCTGAGGATGAGCCAATTAATTTCTGCAGATCACCTCTAAATGAGTTCTCTAATACAATCTACTGACTAATAGAAGGATTAATTCTGTTTTCTCCAAGATTCATGACCTGGCTCTATTCTTCACTAATTACCGTATTTTTTGCCCCATAAGAGCATTAAGATGCACTTAATTTTTAGAGGAGGAACACAGGGAAAATGTATTCTGAACCAAATAGTGTAATAAAATATTTAATAAACTATAACAGAATAACATCTGAACCATGTAAAGTGAACAGCAGTCAACAGTGGCATTAATATAGACCATTATCAGCCAGTGATAAGACCTATACCACTCTACCTATATTTTACATTTCCTTTCATCCACCTCCTCCCCATGCTTATAGAAATGTCTCAATGACAGATGAGATTGTTGTGCAACTCTGCCCATCTACAGCTCAAGCCTATATTAAGTTAGAAATGGTTTGTCTGATTTGGCACTGCATTGAGAGGTCCCTTTTAGTTGTGTGGAGGATAAATAGTGGAATGAAACTATTTAACAGCTGGTTTTCCTTATTTACTTTAGGTTATGCAAAAGAACAGCAACACAAAGCTTAACCCATTCACCAGCAGTAGCACATGCTCAGCATAAGACCAAATCTCATGTTTCTGACATAATTGAACATTTATAGCATGCAAGGCACAACAGGTTAGGCCACACAAAGCCAAAAAAACTGAATACAAACTATAGTACCTGAAATCAGGAAGCAGGTACTGTAATCCAGTTAGAAGTCAGGAGGCACAGTTAGTGTCCTTGCTGCATCACCCTTTGGAAACACATTCTCTATTAGATGCCCAGAACTAGTTGAAAAGTTTGCAAGTTGAATCCAAATTTCCCATAAAAATGCATTGAAAATTAATTAATGTTTTTATGGGGGGTGGGAAGGTCAGAAACTTTAAAAAACTTAACAGAAAGTCACTTACCAGGTACTGTAGACTGAGCCTTGCTCTTCACAGTGCCTTGGTAGACCCCAGAACACTCCAACTCAAACGGAGCACCTTTTCACCCAAGCACAATTTAACCCAAAACAAACAGCTTTTAAAGTAAAACTAGCAGATTTTAAAGACAAGAATGCACGTTTCTACACAAGCAGGTTTCAACTCAAACGGAGCACCTTTTCACCCAAGCACTAACCCCAAACAAACATCTTTTAAACTAAATTTTACATTTTAAAATGACAATACCAGGCAGTCCCAGGTCTCTCTCCCAGCTCTCTAACTGCTTGTACTAGCAAGGAAGCAGACAAGCAGCCTCTTCACTAACTGAAAGTTTGAACTTCCCCGCTTTCCCTGCCTTCCCCGCATATTCGGTATGCTAATATCTGTGCACTGGAGGATTGTGGGAGGACCAGCCCCTGATGGGGGTCCTGTGGGGCACCCCAAAACACTGAAGAGCTCTCTTGGCCTCTTTCAGGACTGGGGCTGTGCAGCCCTATTCTGATCAGGCATGTAGCCGGAGGTCACCATGCCTTTGGAGGACAGGCCACAGAAAGAAGCAGGTGGTTTAGGGGACATTCCAACTCATACTTGGCAGGGGAGATACCACTGTTGTAAAAGTGGTTTTCCTGGGGGCTCATCTATTGCATTCTGGATGTGCTGATCCCTGTGATTTTCCCAAATGTGGGGAAATCAATTGCTTAAGTGGGGGACTGTGTTTATGGTTTCCCCTAGTATTTCTAGGATCACCCTTTCCCCTTTGGTCCTTGGCTGTTTTCACTGCCTGCTGCCATAAGCCTGTTGGCCTTGCTGGTTTTCCAGGTGGGCTGCAGGAAACAGATCCTGGAAAGCCAGCAGTGCAGAATGGTGGGGTCTAAACAGCAAGCAGTCTCTGGTGCTAGTTCAGAGGCCTCCCAGCATGGCAGTGGGGGGTTTCTGGGTGGTGGTGGTTGAACCCCTTTTTTCTGTATTCGTTCCATAAGACGCACATACTTTCTCCCCCACTATTTGGGGGGGGAATTGTGTTTTATGGAGCAAAAAATACGGTAACCCTAAAGTAGCACCTTTCTCCTTTGGCAGTCAGCCTAACTGGCCCATTTATTTTTCTGCAAATCATGAGTCATCCACTTGTGAACATACTTCCTCATGCATGGATACCACCATGTGTGTGTACTACCATGTCCACACAAGTATCTGCCCCACTGTGTTACTCCCTACTACCCCTCCCCCTGCCTCCTAGTTATCCTCCAAACCCAGAACCTCACATCTTTCTTTATGCATTTACATTTATAATCCCTGATAGTTATATTTAATAGTCACATTTACCATCCTGTGTTTCTTGCAGTGAGCTTGTGATTGGGTTCATTGTTTGACGTGTGCGACCCCTTTGTTGGCGCGGAAAGGAGAGGCGGAGGCAGATCGTTGTTCTTAACATAACTTGATTTATTGCTAAACAAACTTAATTCAGTTGGCTCAAATGGGTCCATTAAGCCCAACTCTGGTAACAACCAATAACTTGGCACCTTAACTTCAGGTGTCTTGATGCTCCTCACAGAGGGGCCGGACCAAACCGCTCTCTGTCGGTCATGGGCCTCAGTGGCGTGCTCCTCACCGTGCACACGGTCCCACAGCAAGGGTGTCGCGCCCAGTCCCCCTCTTGTTGTGGCTGGAGTAAAGAGGGACTGGGACGGATCACCCTCCTCCCCCCCCCACGCTGGTTCCGCGGATACACTCCTACCGTCCATTCTAAAGGTTCAAGGTCTTCTCCAAGCGCGCGTAAGTCCTTCAGCTCAGGTAGTAGTCCCCTTCCGACCTGGAGGTTTGGAAATTCTTTAAGGAGCGTGGCAAACCCCTCTTGCCCCGCACTCCATTCGGTCTGTACTCCGCGGTCCCTCTTCTCTGGAGTCAAGCCTGTTATAATATTGAAACTTCGCGTGCCTTCTCTCTCTTTTATATCCCCCTCCCGCACAATCAAATCTAGCTCCTCCCCTCACTTCTAGGGACTCTCTCTCCTCCACTTTCTCCTGCTCTGGTTCCACTAATATGCCCTCCACACATCCTTGTCCTTCCTCTGCCCTTTGTTCCTTGGAGGACGGCACACTGTCTCTCTCTCTCTCCTTCACAGAGCTCTTTTCCTCCTTCCTTTATTCTCACAAGCACGATCTGTGAGGCAGAGGAGACCACAAGAGAAAGGCAGGGTACCCAGTGGGTTTCGTCAAGAATTGATAGACGGCACTTTAGTTTTTGCTGGTTCTTGAGCTCCTATTTGCTATTGTCATTTGTTATTATGGGATGATTGCAAGTCCTGAGTGTGGAGTGTCGTTCCTGACCGGCAAGCAGAATTTGGTGCAGACCATGTGGGATAATGAAGGTTCTAGGCGTGAATCCTTAGGACAAGAGCCATCAGCCTGTTGCTGAGGATGTTGTTTTCTTTATCAGATGGAGAACTTCATCCAGTACCTGAATGAGCCCACTGTCAACAACCAGATTTTCCCCCATGTGGTACATGGTTTTCTGGACACCAACCCAGCCATTCGCGAGCAAACAGTGAAGGTAAGGAGTCTGGTCTCGAAGGCTCAACTGCGTGAGGCTTTTGGGGGGGCACCTCCTCCTCCTCCTGGGTGGCTTGTTTCTCCTCCTATCCATTGGAGAAGGACCAGCCAGATAGCAACGATTTGCAGAAATTAGAGACCCCATCCTATGACACCCCCCCAATGGTTTCCTCATGTTGAAAGGGACCTCCAAGCAACCTCAGAACCTCCAGTGCATGCAGGCGGGATCACAAATGTTAAATTTCCAAAAAGTCACTATGGCTGATGATGTTAACGCCTGGAAACAGGATTTCAGCAATCATCTATTATTATTGTTGTTGTTGTTGTTGTTGTTGTTGTTGTTGTTATTGTTATTTCAAGAATTCGTTCATATCTTTTTCTTGTGAATTGATTTTGGAGCCTTCATAGGCTGACAAGTAGTAAATCCTGCTTGTGTGGTTATTAACAACAAAATATGATGATAATAATGATAAACAAGAAGAAGAAGACGAGAAATGGGACGAAAGATGCTGCGTGAAAGAAAAGGGGAGATGAGAAGGGGAAAGGAAAGCAAGAATACTCTCAGGGATAACTTTATAAGGCGGCGCGCTTTCTTTTCTCTGGGGGAAGTTCTGCCAGAGGGCAAGTGCGAAGAGGCTGGCGTTCCATAAACGGTCCTCTCTTCTCCTTGCAGTCCATGTTGCTTCTGGCTCCCAAGCTGAACGAAAACAACCTCAACGTGGAGCTCATGAAGCACTTTGCCCGCCTCCAAGCCCGGGATGACCAGGGGCCCATCCGCTGTAACACCACGGTGTGCCTTGGCAAGATCGGACCCTATCTCAGTGCCAAAGTGAGTGGGGCTTCTGTGGGGCAGGGTCGGGAGTTGCTTTCTTGAGGAGGCAAAAGTGCCGCTGCCCTCTGGATCACTGGAAAGGGCAGAAGGGACGGAGGATTACTTTATAAAAACAATTGGCTATGGTTATAGTTCCAAACCCCCACAGTTATCGTTAGAGCTTGTTAAAAGTAACTCAGTAACTTCCTTTTTCTCAAGAGGTCGTGTCAGAGGTGGCTATGTCAGGCTTCTGCAAGGAAAATGAGAAGTGTTTTGCACTTTAAAGACTGCTGTGCTATATTTGTCATAAGCTTTTGTGTAGCTTATTAAGAAAGTTGCATGCTATGAGCCGCTTGCCTGGGGTATGAGGCGTGCTCTCAGCAAGGCACGTCCACATTATTTTTGCCTCTACATCAGAGTGCAAAGCTGTAGCAGAAGCCCATGTTTGAAGTGTGTCTTTTTCTGCTTCTGCTGTTTTATAGCAGGAACTATAAAAATAACTAAAATGTTGGTGCTTCCCTTGAAAAAAAAGAGTAATGTTTTCTTCTGTTTAAGTTATACTTATAGTGTAACTAAGTTAAGTCTTCGTTATTGGGGAAATTAAAGGGCATTTCTGTTTCCTTCAATTAGCCCTTTATTCCCCCCCCACCGCCTCATTTCTTGAGAGGCAAATACCTTAGCAATTAGACTTGGCCACACGCTTTCAAAAAAAGGTGCTAAGGGTTGGGCAGATGGGAAGGAAAGGGAAAATGAAAGTAGTCTGAAACAGGAAATGGCCAGCCAGCTGGAACCTTGACGGGGACCCATTCATGCTGCGACGAAATGTTGCAGCAGGTTCTGCTTGTTGGGCAAATATATATATATATAAAATCTATCGCTTATGGGCAGATCTGCAATCTTAGTTCCCGGTTGTTGTTTTTGGCAGACAAGACAGAACATCTTGATATCAGCTTTCAGCCGCGCTACAAAGGACCCCTTTGCTCCCTCTCGGGCCGCCGGAGTCTTGGGTTTTGCGGCCACCCACAATTTTTACTCTATGAAAGACTGTGCCTTCAAAATCCTGCCAGTGCTGTGTACGTTGACGGTGGATCCGGAGAAGACTGTTCGGGATCAGGTGAGCTGGGAAGAATAGCAGTGAGAATGCTGTCTTTCCTCGTATTTAGCTGAGCTCAGGGAAAAGGAAGGATTTCGTGTAGCCCATACTGTCAGGCATGTGGACTTTTTTGTATTTCCGGAACTAACATGCAACTGGGAACACCGCCGTTCTTCAGATGCCACTGTTCCCCTGAGTTTTGCAGTCTGATTTCTTTTCTTTTCAGCTTTGAGCTGAAAAATAACAGTCAAAGGAGGTAACAGACACTGGCCAAAGCAGGATAAAAGGGGCACTGAGAGTAGTTTGCAAGCAACTCAGCAGGAAGCAAGGAAGAACAACACGCCTCATGAAGAGAAAAGCCTTTGCCTGCCATTGTAAGGACCATGCGATGGGTAAAGGAAAGGGAGAAACTAGCCGCCTGTGGAAGGAAGCTTCACAGCTTGGAAACAGCCACCAACAGGGCCCCCTTTCATATCTTTATCAGAAGCTCCTGTGAGGATGTAGAGCCAAGAGAACTTTTGCCACGCAGAAATTAAAATTTGGAGAGTCTCGTGGGGAGATAGCGAAACCTTTGTGGCAGAGTCCTGTTGGATCCATGGGGTATCAACAGGAAATTATGTAAGCCATATGTGTGTGTACAATCTAGCCATTGGCCTGTCACAGGTTCTCACAGACCCAGTGGGGTGCCTGGGCATGTGATAGGCAGCTGGTGGAAGGTCAGAACCAGGTGTGCACCAATCTTAGTTCCCGGTTGTACGACGTTAATTCGTTCCAGCAAAATTGCTATAGAACGAAAACGTAATGCGAAAATAAAAAGCCCATTGAAACGCATTGAAACCCCTTCAGTGCGTTCCAATGGGCTGGAAACTCACTGTCCAGCGAAGAGCCTCCATAGGGCGGCCATTTTGGGTGGCTGTCTTAGGAGGAATCCATCCCGGAAAACAGTGGGGAGCCATTTTAATTTCCCCGGCGGCCGGGCCGTGTTGAAACTGCCAATCAGCTGTTGGAAAATCGTTGTTTTGCAAAGAATCGGTTCCCGAACCAGGGAACCGATCATCGCAAAGTGAAAAAAAACCATTCAGACCATTGTTTTGTGATCGCAAAAGCGATCGGAAAAAGATCGTTGTAATGCGGTTTCGTTGTAATGTGGGGCAGTCGTAAAGCGAGGCACCACTGTACTTGCCCTAAGAGTGCAAGAGGATTCCGGCTGTAAGTGACTGGTGGCCTGTCTTTTAAATAACCTCATAGGGTCTGTCTCACAGAAGGGAAAGACTGATCAGTGATGGATGGGAAATTGAAATACAACATGCTGTGCGTCTCTTGACCGTGCCCTCCACAACTGTCAACAGCCCTACTGAGCTGTATCCACAGACCAGTTCTGGAGGTTTTGTCTCCAGCGAGGGCAGTTATTTTTGTGAAGAGAATGGCTCTTGTTTGCCTCTACCGGAGCATGTCTTCCCAAAATCCAACGGTGTTACAGCTGAGTAGGCCACAACAGTATCGTATCCCTGGGAGCACTGTCCTTTTGTTCTTTCTTCATCAATAGTTACTGTCGAGATTGCTGTCGAACAGAGATGGGGGAGGTTCCATTTTGGGTCCAACACTGCGCAGAATCCCACAGCCGGTACTGTATGTGGGAAGCCTGAGGAGGCTGGCAGGTGACCTTGTGGATTCTGCTCAGTGAAATGTTCGGTCCCTTTGACTCTGGTGGCCCTGGCTCTGCCGTACCACCAGCGAGTGGTGCTGAGCGAGGGCCGTGCTTGACTGCCTTGGGACATGCCATGAAGTTTGAGACAGAGCACACACACAAACATACACAAAGAAGAAGAAGTAAAGAGGTGCCCCTCCCAGCCACTCAGCTGACAGAACCACCAGCCAGGTTATTTGGACTTGTGGGGCAGAAAACCCCTCTGGCTGCCCTCCCTGGCTGTTGAAGTACAGCAACAACAGATTATAAACATATTGAGGACTCCTTACCCTTTCGCTCACACCCAGTATCTTCCACTTCTTTCTGACAAGAGTTCAAAAAAGTTAGTCTGCTCAAATACCTGTTCCAGAACGTCTGGGTCACTTTTTTTCTGATCCAAACGATTACTTTCTCGAGTTACGGTGGAGTGAGCCAGCAAGGAGTGTTCCCCATATTCAAAGGGGAAATATATCCACTCAAATATACCCACTCACCCAACTGGGGGGCTGGAGATACTTTTTTTAAAAAAATAATTTCAATTTTTGACTCCCCCCCCCTTAAACTACAACATAAACATAAAATACATAAACCAAAATACAAATCGACTGTGTTTCCCACTCCCCTAGTCGAGACCTCTTGCAGTCGAGACCTCTTCTTCCTCTGTCTTTATTCTTCTTCTTCCTTGATTGTCCTCTTCTCCAGAACTGCATTGATTCTTGATTTGGAGCTTTCCCTTTTCCTCTTGTTGGCACATATTCAAGAAATCTGCCCCATATGTCATAAAAATTATTCTTTTTCATCTCTCCTTTCTTAACCTTTAAGTTACAAGTTAACTTATCATTTATAGCAATGTTCCATATTTCAATAGAGCTAGAGATCCTGATTTTGATTACTAACTCCACCAGAAGTCCTACAAAGATTTACAGACCTCCCAGGTCAGCTTCATCATAGCTGACATTATCCCACTAAAGGATTAATACTAGAATGAAACCCAATAATCAGTGATAAGCCACTTGTAAACTCATCTAGGCATCTGATTTCAGGTGTCTTCATTGTTGCAGTAATTCCAGGCCACTCTAGAACTTGTTAATTCTATAACAAGTTCTATTTGAGTTCTATTTATTTACATCATTTCTAATATTCCATGCTTAAAAGTAGCAGGTCCAAAAATGATCAAAGAATGTCCAACAGTTATGAGGAAGAAAATCAAGGCCCATATGCTTAAATCCAAAAGTCATGCAGACATGTATAACAGTAAGCTTAAAATACATCTTTCTCACTTGCAAAAATAAAATAAAATACAGCATCTTAGGTTACAGGCATAATTCAAGCCACATATGAATCAAAATTCAAAGTTATTAAAACACAGGAGCTCATAGCCTATAAAGGGGGAGAATACATCTCTATAACACTTCAAAGTTCTTAAGAATAAAATCATAAAAAGCAAAAATCCTTTCGGTGACAGGCATGAAAAAGTATTTAAACTTTTAAAAGTAAAAATACGCATAATCAAAAGCATTATGCAGAAAATTACAGTATTTTTCTCATCAAGCCATTAGCTGTCTTTATTCCCATGACTATTTTCTGGCCACTCTTAATCCATCTGTCCTTTCTATTCCCCATTCCAAGCAGAGATTTCTCTCCTGTTTGTAAAAACAGGTGTCTGCATCCTTTGGGAGATGTTTTATAAATATGATAGAAATCTCTGTTTATATACTTGTTGATGCTTCGGTTTAGCCAAAACAATGTGACATAGAACTTTAGCTTTCCCATGGGCAAATGATGTCCTTGAGTAGCGAAAAGCTGTGGTAGCGATCAACTAAGTTAGCTAGGCTCTAGGGTAGTTCCCACCTCTGGAGTACTGTTTGCCAGGTGATGTAATTTCCTTAGCACCATATTTGGACACTACAATACCTTTATATGCTTCATTCATAATTACTATAGAATATTGTATGAGCTCATGCTCCTCATAGTTACCAAACTAAATTAGGGAATTATGAATTATTTATTATGATGCTAAAGCCTTATAAAATGAACGTCACTTTTGTTTTTCTTTTCTAATTGATTGTCAAGAAGCAAACTACTTAAAACAACATTCATCTGTTTCTCCTTTTGCATTGTTTTGCAAAAGCTTCTTCTTTACAACATATGGTCATTCTCATTTGTTTAACACAGGTTTCCACATCTATTTTGTGGTATTTGTTAATTACCATTATAGATGGACGTAACTCAAGTGGCAATGTCAATTGCGTTTCTGTTTTTTTCCCCATTGTGGTCTCTGCAAAAGAATTTTATTGTTTACATTTTTCATTGCAAAAACTGGCATGAAACTCAGTTAACTACTTCTGCTGTCTTAATTTAATCAGTTCTATTTGTACCCAAACAAGTAAGTTGTTTTGGTTTTATAATATAAAAAATCTTCACAGAGTATGTTCCCAATTATACTTTTGGTTTTAATGCATCACCTTTTAAAAGGACTTTTCCATTTTCAGGCAACACTTTTTCACCCCATAATCTCAATTTTTTTGAACAAAGGACATCTCTCCCTTGTGTTGCCCCCCCCCAAATAGCAATGTGAGTTTTACCCACGACAGGCAGACAGACGCATGCACGCACGCACATACACACACACACACAGAGGGGCAGCTGTTTAAGATACAGAGGGAACATCCACTGAACCTGCTTTCTGGGGTTGTTGCCTCCTCCTCCCTCACCCCATCTTCTTAAAAATCCTTTTCTTCCTTTTTTTAGGCCTTTAAGGCAATCCGAAGCTTCATGGCCAAACTGGAAAAAGTCTCTGAAGATCCAGACCTGCTTTCTGAGCTTGGTGAGCTGCTTTTGGGGTTGGGGGAAGCCGAGGTGGTTGGAGACAGAGCTTCAAAACGCCTTCTCTTTTGGACTACAACTCCCATCCTCCCTCTGGCTGAAAGAATATTTTTTTTGTATTCCAAATTAAAAAAAAAAAGTTAGGTCCCAGCCGTAAATGGACCATGGATGGTGAATTTTGGGGGAATTTGTGATCCTAAGCCGTTTTCATACAGTTAAGTTTCCTTAGCAAACTCTGCTCATCTTTCCTTTTGACTCCCAGGGCTGCTGGCTGCATCCCCTGCCTCCAGGTTTTTTTATCTGGAAAGCTGGGGGAGCAGATCTTGGCAGAAGAAGAACAGAAACCTTGTATCTGGGGAGTGGACCTCAAACTCTGTTGCTCTGTTGTCTCTTTAGAGAAGGATGTCCAGGCTGCCTCTGCCAATCCAGGGGCCGGGGGAGCAGCTACCTGGGCAGGCTGGGCGGTGACTGGGGTCTCATCTCTCACGTCAAAGCTGATCCGGACCAATATGGGGACAGGGCAAGCCACAGAACAGGCAGCTGAGGATGTCCCGGCCAACACGACCCCAGAGCCCCTCCGGTCAGGTAAGTGGGGGCTTGAAAGTACATCTTCTCACCTTGCATATCCTTTGAGGATAGAGATGGAAAAGGAGTTTCGGCCTTCGATGCAAGCCTCAGTCAAGGGAGGAGGGCGTGCATGCGCAGCAGGATATGCAGTGACTGCATAAGCAGACCCACAGGTACCTTTTTTCACTGTGTATAGCTCGATCTGTCTTTTTAAATAATGTTTATGCCATTCCCAAGTCAAAAAACATCCCAGAAGCTGCTTACATAAAAAATAAAAGTGTTCCTGTGTACAGGCCTAACATTTTCAAAAGGCACAGCGTGAAAGGAATGGGGATGGGGAAGGATGACGAATAAAGTCAACCCTTTTTCAGGGCATTTGAAGGAATGGCATTGCTTCCATTTCATCTCCCTTTGCTGAAGCCTTTGGCGCCGGTAATAACAGTTGAGAGAAGAGCCGTCAGAACATATCTGGGGAGGGGAGGGGGTGCCACAGCCGTCCCTCTAGCCATGTTGCTGATGCCCTTTCTTCTTGCCCTGCCTGTCAAGAACCGTAAGGTCTAATCTTGGGTCAGTTAATTAAATGGCAGTCTGAAACGAGGCAGACACAGGAAAAATACAGTTAATAGGTTAAATGAAAAGAACTCAGTCGATTTCAAACTCAGCACATCGCCAACTCTTTAAGAAAAGGAGCCTGAAATAAATGGACTTTTTACTAGCTTGTACCAAGAAGAACAGTAATTAGCCAAAGTCCTGTTGCTAATAGAGCTGGTTCACTGAATCAGTGTGCATTTAATTGATTGATTGATTGATTGATTGATTTGATTTGATTTGATTTGATTTATACCCCGCCAATCTGGTCTAATCAATAGTGATTCAACTCCTCTGTAAGTTTCATGCATAGCTCACTGTTAAAATAAGTCATAGTCATGTTTAGCCTTGAGAAAATAAGACTGAGGGGTGATATTTGAAAGGCTGTCCTACAGAGGAGAGGCAGGATCTGTTCTCGATCATCCCAGAGTGCAGGACACGCAACAATGGGCTCAAGTTAAAGGAAGCCGGATTTCGGTTGAAATCAGGAAAAATGTCGTAATTGTTAGAGCAGGACAACAGTGGAACCAGTTACCTCGGGAGCTGGCGAGTGCTACCAACACTGGAGGGATTCAAGAAAAACTCACCTGGCTGATACGCTTTGATTGTATTAAGCAGGGGGTTGGACTTGATGGCCTTGCAGGACCCTTCCAACTTCACTTTTCTATGATTCTCTAGGCTTATTTGAATTGATGGTATCGAGTAGTTGACTTACTAAATCCCCATTAATCCAATGGGCCTACTGTGCTGTGATTTACTATACTAAGAAACAGGATTTTGGCCAATATATCATTTGGGAAGATCTCCTACAAGCCTTGGATCCCCCCTTCTCTGTTGTGCTTTCTGATCTACTTGATCGCTGCAGAGGAGCCTCCAGGCAGGTAATCTTTGACCTCTTCTTTGTTGTATTCATTTTTAAAGGAGTCAAGGAACCCCCTGCTACTGTCACCCCAGCTTCTGTTTCACCAAGCCAGTGGGACCTAGAGGAAGATGCAGTTGAGGAGGAAAGTTCGACAGATCGATGGGACGACGAGGACTGGGGCAGTTTGGAGGTAAAAAAGGAAAGAAAGGGATTGGGGAAGCGCCGGACTCCAGTTTCCTGGCTAGTGGGAATAAGGATCCTAAGAAGAGCTGGACTGGATCAGACCAGTTTCCCTGGTCTAGTAGTCTGTTCTCACAATGGCCAACCAGATACATCAGTCAGAAAGATATCAGCGTACAGTGGTGCCTCGCATTGCGACGTTAATTCGTTCCGCAAAAATCGCTGCAGAACAAAAACGTCGCAATGCAAAATAAAAAAGCCCATAGAAACACATTAAAATGTGATTAATGCATTCCTATGGACTTAAAACTCACAGTTCAGCGAAGATCCTCCATAGCGCGGCCATTTCTTGTGCCTCTTAAGCGAGGAATCCGTCCCAGAAAACAGCGGGCAGCCATTTTGTTTACCTGGCGGCTGAAAATGGTCGCGTTGCGATGATCGGTCATCGCAAAGCGAAATTCCCCCATAGGGAACATCGCAAAGCGATTGCAAAAAATGCGTCGCAAAGCACTTTCGACGCTAAACGGAGCGATTGCTATGCGAGGCACCACTGTAATAGCATCCTCCCGCTTGTGCATCTCACCAGCTGACATTTAAAGGTAGAATGCCCTAACACATGGAGGTTCCATTTCGAATTCACTGTACTAAGGAGAAACTAAGACTACTCCTGCCGGCTCAGAATCCCTAATCCCCATAGGGAACATTGCAAAGCGATGGCAAAAAATGCGTCGCAAACCACTTTCGACGCTAAACGGAGCGATTGCTATGCGAGGCACCACTGTAATAGCATCCTCCCGCTTGTGCATCTCACCAGCTGACATTTAAAGGTAGAATGCCCTAACACATGGAGGTTCCATTTCGAATTCACTGTACTAAGGAGAAACTAAGACTACTCCTGCCAGCTCAGAATCCCTAATCCAGCATTTTTGTTTCCCTGATGTTCGGCCAGATGCTTCTGGGGAACGCGCAAGCAGGACGTGGGCATGTGCGTGCAGCTCAGCCCTTTCTGTTTGAGTTTCTTGGCAACTGGGACTGAGCAGCGTGCTAGCGAGGCTAGCCTATAGCCAGGATGACTAGCAAAATTCATGAAGGGTGAGGCTCTTTGAGACTATATAAGCGAGAGTCTAGATTTATGTCCCTGCATGGAGTAAGCTGGAGAGGGTCTCAATCTGCCTCCAGCATGCCTCTCATTCTCTCAAATTCTCTTCTTCTTCTTCTTCTTCTTCTTCTTCTTCTTCTTCTTCTTCTTCTCTTCAATCCTTTATAGTTTTGTTTTTGAGGAAAAAATAAAGGAAATTAAGATATAAGGCCCCATGCTAGTAAACCAGGATTTGGGTATTTATTGTACAGTGGTGCCCCACATAGCGACGATAATCCGTTCCGAAAAAATCGTTGCTATATGGATTCATTATGCGGAACAAAAAAGCCCATCCTGCATGGAGTAAGCTGGAGAGGGTCTCAGTCTGCCTCCAGCATGCCTCTCATTCTATCAAATTCTCTTCTTCACCGTTATGCAAAAATCCTCCATACAGCCGCCATTTTCGCTGCTCGGTAAGCGAGGAAAGCGCAAAAACACTGCGGGCGACCATTTTTTTTTTACCCTGCGGGCATTTTGGAACTGCCAATCAGCTGTTAGAAAAAACATCGCTATGCGAAAATTGGTAAGCGAAACAGCTTACCGATCGTCGCAAAGCGATGTTTTACCATTTAAAACATCGCAATGCGATTTTTGCAATCGCAAAAAAGCCATCGCTATGCGGATTCGTCATTAAACAGGGTGCCTGTTATGCAGGGCACCACTGTACTAAGCAAAGATGAGCCTGTAATGTTACCTTCCCAGACTGCAAAGTTTGGGCATGCCCTGTGCCTCTTGAACGGGCTTTGCAGAGGAAGAGGGAGGAATGGTCTTCTAGGAGCAAGTGACGCTTGACTTCAAGGAGTTCCTGCTTTTTGTCTTCTCCTGGTGGCAGCAAGAGACTGAGCAGACGAAGAGACAAGCCGGCTCTGATGACTGGAACACCCCGAGCTGGTTAGAGCCAGCCTCATCAGCCAAAAAATCTGGAAGCAGGACAGTAAGTACCTGTTGGGGCCCCTTGCATTAGGAGTGGCAGATCATGCCACCAGCCCTCATTTTCCAGGAAATGATAGCTCGCCCAACTGGGATATCATTTGGAGTGTTGTGTGGGATAAATCTGGGGAGCAAGATACCTCTGAGGTGCTGGTTTGATACCTAATCTCTGGAAACTGTGTCTAGATGGTTTCAGTGTCAATATATGAAATTCTCATTCCCAGTGCCTGCAGACAAACCATGACACATATAGACTGCAAAATCTATAATAATAATGGTGTGCCATCATCCACAGGATTCCAAAATCTGCAACCCAGTTTGATTAACTGATAAGATAGAATCATACCTAAAATGCATACATTTGAAAAAAAGTGTACACAAAAGGATGTGTACCTTAGAAACAGGGTTCATGAAAACTCAGTTATTTAGAATTTGCAAGAAAAAAAATATATTTGATAGAAAAATCCCTTGAAAAATACTGTATTCCTGGGAGGAGAAGTGCTCCAAAAGGCATATTCAAAAATGCTTACAGAGGTGCACATGTTTTTGGGAAATGCACATGGAAATATGTAAACATGCAAGTTCGGAAAATCAATACTTTGCAAGCTGATTCAGAAATCAGAGAGAAAGCGTTTTTGCCCCACTTTCCAGCAGAAAGGCTCCCAGTGTCTTTCAGCAGCTGGAAGGAGGCCTTTGTAGCTGGTGGACTGAGTGTCCTTCCTTTGCCATCCTCCCCAGACTGCCTCGGCCATCTCTGTGAAGCCAGAATCTGACTGGAGCGCCTCTGCCTGGGACCTGGAGCCGTCTTGGGGCCACAAGAAGGGACACGGCTCTGCAGCGGAGGAGGTGTGGCAGGGCGGCAGCAGGGAAGGGGACGCTGGCTCCGGTCTGACCCGAAAAGCTGCCCTGTCTGCCCCGGAAGGGACCAGGCTGGCTAGCGAGTACCACTGGGAGAGCGTCACCCCGGCGGACAAGCTGGACCCTTTCTCTTCTCTGGTTGCGAAGCCAGTAGCAGAGAGGCAGGTGAGAGGCTCACACACCATCTCCAGTTACGTTTCACGCAAACATACACAGATGTACCTATACATATACGCGTGTACACAGAGACGAAACAACTGCTCAGAGTTTCAGCTGGAATGAGCCGACAGAAGCCCTGCCTTAGCATCCTCTCTCTTGGGGAGGAAGGAACGGTCACTCAGATGCTGGTGATCAGAGTGTAGAACTGCACCGGTGGCCCTTTGGAGGTTGTGAAACTACAACTCCCATAATCCTCTGCTGTTACCAGTGCAATTCAGAGTTCCAGCGGCATCCAGAGGGCGACAGCTATAGTGCCCTTCTCTTCTGGAGCCTGTGTGCTGTTTGTGTTCTATGCTATCAAGTCACATCTGACTTGTGGCAACCCTAATAGGGTTTTCAAGGTATGTAAAATATTTAAGGAGTGCTCTGGCTAGTCTGTATATACAATTTGACACTCTAAGGAGCTCAGACTAGGAGCTGACCCAGAGGGAGCAGGGGCTTTCGCTTAGGAAAGGGTATCTGAACCCCCCCAATCTGAACCCCCACACACACACACACTATGGGAAGAAAGGGCACCTATTAGTGTAAAGAGATAAAGTAATTCTTCCTGTGTTCCTAATAAAGCAAACCTTTGGATGGAATGAAGCAGTTTGGCACCCACATGCTAGTTTTTATATGTTTTTGAATTGTTTTTAAAATTGACTTAATCTTAATATCTGTTTGTTTCTTTTAAAATATACTTATATAGTGTTTTAAAATCTGTTTTATGTGTTCTAAGCTGCCCTGGGTCCCCTTTGGGGAGGAAGGCAGCATGTAAATAATTTACACACTCTCTCTCTCTCAAATCCAATTTGGGGAGAAAGGCAGCGTATAAATAATTTACATTCTCTGTCTCTCTCTCTCTCCCTCAAATCCAATCCAATCCACTGCTGGGCCTGGCCAAAATTTTTCCCCTATATTCCAACATTTCCAGAATACCTTGGTGCTGCTCAGCACCGCACGTTTCCCTCCTTTTCACCGGGTACCTTCTTTTTTCCCCAGAGAAACACAGAGACCCTCGGGGACTGGGGCCTTGAGGACAACTGGGAGGCGCTGGACTCTGACCAAGGTGGGTGCCCCCCCCTCAGCAACCCCTGCCGCAGGAGAGTCGAGTCAGAGGCCAGGCTGTGAGCCCAGCATCTCTGTTTTGTCTTGGCACCTGCAGGGCCCAGCAAGGCTGAACTGGCACGAAAGAAGCGGGAGGAACGGAAGCAGGAGATGGAGGCCAAGCGGGCCGAGAGGAAGGCAGCCAAAGGACCCATGAAGCTGGGCGCCAGGAAATTGGACTGACACCCCCCCTCTTTTTTTTTTGAAAAGTGAGGGCAGCTTGAAGCGCTTGAAAGACAAGAGAAGCCAAGCGTGGCGTGTCAAGGGGTTTCCTCCTCCACGTTGCTTCTTTTTCCTAAAAGAAGAAGACAGAGTTTCTACACTTCCTCTGACAGGGGCTCGTCTCAGGCGCCATTCCTTTCCTGAGCCCCTCACACTTTCCTCGGCCGAGGCCATGCCAAGAAGCTTCCCGAGTTCCCTGGCAAATCCCTCTTTCCTCTCACGGACAAGACTTGAACACAGGACCAGGGGGGAGAGTGGGGGGGGGAAACAGATTTTTCTCTCCATAAGGTAGTTATTTTGTACAGCAGCAGGTTTCCAGTATGGTTATATGTGTATGTAATACTTGCCTGTTTCAAAGGTTTATGCAGAACAAAGACAAATAAATTAATTCTTTAAGGAAGGTAGCACAGGGGCATGCATCAAAAAGACTTTTCTGTGCCAGGGACCTGCCTGACCCCCACCCAGTTGTGGTGGTGGGGGATGCCTTTTTTTTTTAATCTTTGGGTCATCACACTGGTTTCTGCTTCCCACTTTTACAGCAAAACTGAGGAATTCATGACTCACCTACTCAGCGGCATTGTTAAGCGATTGCTTTCAGTGGCCCAACCAACTCTGAAGCATGCTATGAGTTTGAGCTCAGCAACTATCCACTCTCTGGCTCCCTCCCCAACGAAAGGCTGGAAACTTTTAGCAGTCCACCATCCACGTCTACTCTAAACCAGGCAATAAACAATCTAGTCTGGAACCTTTTTCACTCCCTCTGCAAAAGAAAGAAGCCAGCTGTGCCGTTTTTTATGGGACCGTTTAATGCATTTCTTTTTCTGGCTGAGAGGGTGGAGCCATGGACCCGCTAAGAAGCCCTGGCCATTTTTTTGGCGGTTTAGTCCTCCCGACATCTCCTGGCTGGTGTGCTTTTTATCGTCTTCTTTTTAAAACATTGCAAAAGAATCAGTTTAGCTTTTCATGTTTGTTTGTTCTTTTAAGTAAACTTTCAGAGTCTTTAAAAGTGTTTCATCTGAAAGCAGATCCTGAGGCTCCTGAGAGGCAGGTGGGGCAGAGAGAGGGTTGGGAGGAAGGCACCAGGGGAAGAGGGTGGGCAGCGGCCGCTGGCTGTAAGAGGTGCTGCTGCTGCAGCTGCTGAAGGGGTGGGGGCTGAGGCTTCCCTGAGATGCGAGTGGAGTCACACTCCGTGGGGCGAGGGGACGTCAGAAGATTGCCTCCGCTTGGCAGCCACCAACCCCAAACACGGTTGCCGGCTGTAGTGCTGCTGTCGCCTCCCAGACCCCTCGGCCGGGGGGGGATGGAGGAAGGTCCTTCGCCTTGCTTTGTGCCAGCCACTGCCCCGTTCTTCAGCAATAAGCAGGTGCGTCTGAGCAGCCCCGGAGAGGTGCAGGTTTCCTTCTGGGTCAAGCATGGCAGCAAACCGTCAAGAGGCTTCAGCCAAGCGTCCCGCCCATCATGTGGAGCTCGTGCTTCCGGGGCCTGGAGGAAGGCTTGGATCAGAGATCTGTTAGGAGAAGAAGAGATCCGCTGGCGAGGGAGGGTGTTGCTGGAAAGGATGCTTCTCTTAGGGTGGTGGGGGTGGCGTTAGGAAAGGGGTCCACTGGTGGGCGGGTCACACAGTCGCCGCAACAACGGTTGAAGCACAGTGGTGTGTGGGAGAGAAAGGGCAGGGGGGTGGGTGAAAAAGAAGGCATGCGCACCCAACTTCTGGGTTCTTGCTGCATTTGGTGCACCGTCGTCGTTTCTTACCTTTGCCACTGTGCTGGCACCAGAAACGTGCCATCGGGAAGCGAAGGAGTTCTCAGACGTGGAACTGCCTGATTTGTGCTTCACTGCAGGGACAAGAGTTGAGAGAGGAGCTGTTAACCTGGGCCAGCCCCAGTCCTCCCTCCCTCCCAGTATGGGGCAGGCCTGGCGCACAGGAGATCTCCCTGAAGACTTCCGCCTTTATCTTGAAGCAGGATTAGAGGCAAGAAATCATGGCCGCCTGAAGGCACTGCACCAGATTGACCTGGATGGTGCGCCTGGAACTGAGCCGTGCTTTATACGCTGGCTGGGGAAAATTCTCCGTTGGGGAAATGACTGACTGCCATCCCTTTGCTCTGCTCTTGCCCTCATCTCTTGGTCCTTGCTTTTTTGCCCAGAGTATGTGAGTCCCTAAACAGGAATATGGCCTTCCCAAGCTTGGAAAAAATAAATAAATTGCAACACTGGTTTTTCAAGACCTTTAGCAGAAATGGGAATTTTTCTTGGGACTGCAGCTCCTAAAAACGCAACACCTGGCTGTGGGATGCTGGGACCTATAGTCCAGAAGTCTACCCCGCCTCTGTCCTTTGGTGGCCCTGGTTTACCCACTCAGGCCTGCTTGAAGGAAAGAGGCTGTTCTCGCCCTGCTCCCCGGTGTCCCTTCTTACAGGAGGAGGTGGATGAAAAAGAAGCCGCCGTTCTATCGCTGCCCATGGACAAGGGACGGCGGGCCTCAGAAAAGCTGCTGCAACGCATCCGTCCTTGCGCTTCCTGCCTCTTCTCTTCCTGGGCCTGTAGGCAAAAGTCAGGTTAGGAGGCAAAAGGGCGGGTGAGGGGGAAAAAGTGCAGTAAGGCTGAGCAGGAAAGGTAAGAAGGATGACTTCAAATTTGGCACTTGAGCACTTCAGAACTTGAGCAGCCAGCAGTCTGGACGGCAGAATGATGGCCGCAGTAGCAAAGATAAGGCAATAAATCCCCTTCCCTCTCCAGATGTTCATGAATGCCAGCAGGACACCAAAACTCACCACGTGGAGGTCCTGCAGTTTGGGGTGCTGCTCGCTTGGCCCAACGTGGACCAGGTGGTTGAAGTTGCTTGGGGCAGAGATGAGCTTGGAACGGAGGCTGGGGTCACGCATCATCTCCCTACAGAGCACAGAAAAATGGACTGAGAGCCGGACTGCAAAGAGAGCCGGGCATTAGGGTGTCCCCGACGCAGAGCTGCTGGAGAGCTCTGTGAGTTGGAGCACGTGGCTGGCAGTGCAAATTCCCCACGGCGTCTTGTTAAAGAAAAGCCAGCCGGTGTGGCCTTCAGGCTGCACACTCCCAGGGCTCCCTCAGAGGAAGGGAAACCACTGCTAAGTACTGTCTAGAAAACCCTGAGAAGGGTCATCCTAAGTCAGACGGCATGTAATTATTATCAGATGCAGACTGCAGAAAACCCAGATTCAGCTCTCCACTCAGCCAATGAGAGATCTCCATCTCCTGTGAACGATAACATTGAAACAGAAGGGACATGGGGCCTTCCCTTTCTGGGACAGCCCTCTGTGATCCTTGCAGAAAACCCAGATTCAGCTCTCCACTCGGCCAATGGGCCAGCCCTTCTGTGATCGGACTCACCTCCTCTGGAGCTGCCGCTCCTCCTCGGAGATCCGGAAGGAGAAGCGGCGCTTGTGCCTCGTCCTCATGAGATGCCGCCGGCTGTTATCTGTTGTCTGGGGGATTTCAAACTCATCTTGGTCTAGAAGAGAGGCGAATGTGGCCCCGGTCACCAGATGCTCTATAAACCTGGCCAGGTGTACAACTACAGTGGGGTCTCTATTTAAGAACGTCTCTACTTAAGAACAATCCAACTTAAGAACAGCTCCATTTGCTAAATTTTGCTTCTACTTGAGAACAGAAATCCAAGATAAGAACAGGAAAAAAAAACCTTTCCTGCTCTTTTTTTAACCTTAGGTCATCTTAGGTTAAAAAAAATTCTCCCCCTACTGGTAGAGTACGTATTAACCAGCTTTGCATTAGTTCCTATGGGAACTCATGCTTCAATGTACAAACGCACCTCTACATAACAAAAAAACAGCCAGAACGGATTGATTGGTTTTCAGTCCATTCCTATGGGAAATTTTGCTTCAACTTAAGAACATTTCAACTTAAGAACACCATTCCAAAACGGATTAAGTTCTTAAGTAGAGGTTCCACTGTAGTTTCTATGGACGGAAAAGAGCAGATACGGATTAAATGGTTTCCAATGCATTCCTATGGGAAATGCAGATTCAACATAAGAACTTTTCAACTTGAGAACCACCTTCCAATACGGATTAAGTTCTTAAGTAGAGACCCCACTGTATGGTATAGATACTCTGAAGTGACTTTTGCACCTCCTGGAGGCCTGGTGCCAGGGGTCAGCATTGCTGGGTCCTTGCCAGACCCCCCCAGACCCTCTCCTTCTCTTGCCTTGGCCCCTTCATCATAATTCTCCAGGAATCTTAAGGACAAGGGTGAGCCAACGGAGTGAAGGGCAGGACTGAGAAGCAGCTGGCCTTTTCTCCACCAGTCCATTTCTCTACCTTTACAGGTTGGACAGAAGTGGGTATTGGCCCCAGACAGAGGTGATGGCGAGGACTGAGGGGGGAAAAGCCCACTGAGATTTTTTCTCCCAGGAAGCGTGGAACCTGTACTGAACTATTGTGGAGGGGGGGTCCCGGTCCCCACCCGTCCGTCCCACCCATCCGTCCCACCCCACCATCTCAGTTCTCTAAACCCAATCTCCCAGGACAACATAGGATAAATCCAACTGCTACCACTCGGCACACCGGATAACGCTCTGGGACAAACATTTCCTCTTTCATTATTAGGAAGATGGTGTAACAAATGTTCTGGGATGGCAACTGTGAACAGTGACAAAAGCCACAGGGCCCTCGGAAGATCAATAGCCCTCACAAAGCAATGCTTGCATCCCCAGAAGTCCCGAGTAGGTGGCCGTGCTCACCTGCTCTCCCTTTACGGCGGCCCTTCCCCCCCCCCTTACCTGCTGCCTTGTTTCTGAGGTACGTCAGGCGGACCTTCTCGCTGCCAAAAGTGCAAAGAGAACCTTCAGGGTTCAGGGCTCGGACCTGGCGAGAGACAAGAAGAAGCCTTGGCTGATGGGGGCTGGTCGTGTTCAGCCTCCCCGAGGCAAGAGAACAAATGCCTTCAGGCTCACAGGCTGTCCTACCTCACGGGGTTGTTGCGAAGACAGGGCAGGAGAGCCATGTATACCAGCCCCAGCTCATTGTAGGAAAAGCATAATATGAATGAAATCAAGACACAAACCAGTGGAAGCCTTCTTCCCAGCAGCCCCTAGATTTTATTTATTTAATTTATTTATTTAATTTATATGCCGATTGGATCGGTGTGAGAAATTACTGGCCCTCGCCGACAACACCCGCCAGCCCCACCGAGTGCAACTAAGACATTAGGGACTGGGTAAGGGTTCGCCCACAACATCTGGAGGGCCGATGGTTTTTCCTGCTCCTGCTCCAGAGGAGAATGGGGTGGGTGGGCGGATAACCATCATTTCTGGTTCAAATAGTCTCCCAATTTATTATGGAAGTGTTTGCCCCTCTTTAATAAAAACATGATGGAGGGCAAATGAGGTTGGGGGAAGGGCATCATTTAAATCAACTGATCTAAACAGCGCTGACAGATTTTAAATGTCCATCTCTTCAAGATTTGGCATTCAGGAAGAAAGTACACCCTTGATACAGATGCTTTCCAAGTAAAACTCAATAAGTGAGGTATTGGGTTGAGAGTTCGATTCCGCCGCTGGGTCCCCTGGGGGAAGCGCTGGGCTGGGTGGCCTTTGGCACCCCCAGAAGAAAAGAACAGGAAACCACTACTACACAGGAGAGAAAAAGGTCACCACAAGTCTGATGGCATGTGATTGTTGTTGTTACAGATACCTTTTTCAGAGAGATACTCTGAATCCACTCGGCTTTCCTGATATCAAACACATCCACTGCGTTCTCACTGAATACTGACAGATACGGAACATTGTAACCTAGGATGAAGAGAGGAAAAACAGCACATAGAGGAAGACCAGGAATGGGATGACATCTGCTCTCATGCACAGCATCATACCTCAGGCACTAAGCAGATCCTGATTTACTAACTGGGTGTCCTCCAGCTATTTTAGATTACCATTATCCTCACCCGACCTTCCCTATCAATGAATGGGTGTTGTAATTCCTCCCATCTTGAAGGTGCCAACACTCCCCCCTGACACACACACACACACACTGGTACTGGCAAGGAGGCCAGTCAACATATCTAAGAAGCACAAGATATACAGTAGTTACTTTTCTGGACTACAAACCCCAGAAATTCTCAGCCAGTCAAATCTTTGGCACCAGTTCAGGGATGGCGGGTCTGTTTATTTGTTTATTAATAAATCAATATTCCACCTTGACACTAAAAAAATGGGTCTGAGGCATCCTGTGACAAGGCAGCCTCTACTTACCCCGAACTTAAGCCCCACCACATGGGTTCTATAGCAAGGCCCATCATACTTAATTTATGATTTTTTTTTCACCTTTGCCCGCAAACCCAGATTGGCTGGCTGAAAAAAAAATCACAAGGCACTCCTGCCCATGTGATGAGTGTATTTATTCCCCCAAACAACTAGGTCCCTGCACATCCCTCTTGGACTGGGAGGGGGGGCATCACTCTCATCAGAGATAAGCTCTAAGCTGCTGCCAACGTCCTAGTCAAGCTCCGGCTATGAGTCTCCCCGTGACTCAGGGAGCGGAACGGAGGGAAGGTCGATTTGCCCTTGGAGAGGACGTGGGTTCAAAGGCCTTTGCCTTCCCTTGGGAGGGTCTGTAACCTTTACTCAAGTACGCCCCATGCCTCAAACCCTGGAGGACCGCCTTTGCCTTCCCTTGGGAGGGTCTGTAACTCCAGAGTAAAGAACGTCCTGGTTGCAGTCCCCAGCGCGTCCGGGCAGGGATGGGAAAGAAGGCCCCATGCCTGGAACCCTGGAGGACCATGGCCAGTCGGTGTCCCCAAGGAGGGCAAACATGCCAGAGGTCATCATCATCATCCAGCCGAGGGAATGGCTTGGGGCTGCCAGATGAGCAGCCTCCCGTTCCCTGAGATTTCGGTGCCGAAATCCAAGACGGGGTGGGCAGGCCGGGTCTCTTATGATGCCACAGAGGCAGGGCAGGCAAAGTCTGGGAAGGAACTGCTTCTGGGTCAGGGGATGCGGGAGACGAATGAGCACAAAGCAATCCACTCCCCGTCTTGCTCTCAACTGCGCGTAAACACCCACCGGCACCCTTCTGGGCCCCATCCCCATCCCTTAAGGCACCACAGGCACTGGGAAAGGGTGAGGTGCCAACCCATGCTTTGAAGCCATTCGCAAAATCAAATGTCTTCCTTTACTCAGGGCCTAAATCCAGTCGGGCTTCTTTGTCCCATGAACCGTGAGGCACGCACCAAACATGAGGGCCACTCACAGCAGCTGAGAGGGGGTGCTGGCCACATCAGCTCCTGGGGGCGGCTCCGCCACCCCTGCCCGTCCACGTAGAGGCCGAACCCGCTGAAGCAGAGGACCAGCTCGCTCAGGCTGACCTCCACGGCCTTCAGAGCTTCCATCTGGGTCACCGCTGCGGCTCGGGGATCGTCCGGGTGGGGCAGGTTCACGGGGGGGCCCTCATTGAGCAGAGGGTAGAAGGAGAAGCCCGAGGGGTAGCCGACGCAGAGACGGTCCCCCAGGACGTCAAGGCACTGCACGTAGCCTGGAGCCTGGATCTCCTTGATGCGCCGGTGCGGTGGGCGCGTGGCCCCGAGCTGGAAGCAGAGGACTTGGCGTCTGCAGGCCACGCAGAGCACAGGGGTGGTCCCACGGCAGATGAGGCCCACCGCCACCGCTTGGCAGTTCTTGGCCTCCACCAGCTTGGTCCCTGGGGCTTCCGGGGTTTCCAGCTCTGCCCAGGAGAAGATGCGGACGCCATGATTTTTGCCGCAAAGCACCGTGAGCAGCTGCGCCTGGGGAGAGACCAGAAGGAGCTGGACCCGCCGGCAGTCCCCCACCTGCAGGACATCTGGGGAGGAGGGGAGAAAAGTGGGGAGACTCTTGAGCAAGAGAGCCTGGAGAGAGGCACATCACGGCGAATTAGTCATAGAACCGCCAAATCATAGCTTTGGGGAGTTGAAAGGGACCCCAAAGGATCCGCTGGGTCCAGCAGCCGCTGCTAAAGCAGAACCGTTTGCGATGTGACCTGATCTGGCCCAGCTCTGCCCTTAGGCAGAGGGAGGCGGCTGCTTCAGGTGGCAGACCCGGTGGGAAGGGCCAAGGGAGGACTCCTTCCAGCCCTCCTACCCAAGCCCCCTGGGCAGCCTTGCCTCATCCTCTCAACAAGCCAGGGGTTTCCTCAGCTGCCCACCCTGTTGGGATTCTCGGCCTGGAACTGGGGTGAAGAACCACCATTATCAGGTAGAAGATCTTCTCAGACTGAGCCTGCCCTCGTGGGGAGGCTACCTGGCCCCTCCCTTTTTATACAAGTCTGAGTAAAGGAAGACAATGATTTCTGAGAAACCTAGTACTTGGTCCAGCCGAGGCCGGCATTTCTTACCGTTTGTGCGGAGATGAATTAAAAAGAGACCATCCTCTGTGCCAAGGGCAATCCGCTCCCGGTCTAGAAAAGAGTAGAGAGAACCTCATGACTGAAGGGATCCCCCCAAGGCCATCTAGTCCAGCCCCTCACTGTTGCCAGAGATCCACACAGAAAGCATCTCTGACAGACTGTTGTGTCTAACTTTTGCTTGGAAACTTCCAAGGAAGGGCAACCTTTTGGGGTAGTCTGTTCCTCCAACAAGAAGTTCTTCAAAATCTTTTTAATTCATTTCATATGGCTTCATTCTGTTTATATATACAGTGGTGCCTCGCTTAACGGGCGCCCCGTTTAACGACAAAATCGCATAGCGATGAAGATTTTGCGATCGCTTTGCGATGGTCTGAATGGGGTTTTTTCGCTTTGCGATGATCGGTTCCCTGTTTTGCTTACCGATTCTCGCAATGCGATGATTTCCCCCAGGCTGATCAGTGGTTCCAAAATGGCCGCCGAGGAAAAAAATGGATGGCCGCCGGGGGAAAAAATGGCTGCCCGCTGTGTTTAGGCACGGATTCCTCACTACCGGGCAGCGAAAATGGCCGCTGTATGGAGCATCTTTACTTAAAGGTCACTTTTAAGCTCATAGAAACGCATTGAAGGGGTTTCAATGCATTCCTATGGGCTTTTGTAAATCACATAGCGACGAAATAGTTTAGCAGCGATTTTTGCTGCACCGATTAACGTCACTATGTGAGGCACCACTGTATTACCTTCTCCCATTACAGCAACTCAAGGTGGAAATCGCTTAGCAGCGATTTTTGCTCCACCGATTAACGTCACTATGTGAGGAACCACTGTATTACCTTCTCCCCATTATAGCAACCCAAGGTAGCTTACCAAATAATTACAAAGGAGTAACAATGTTACTCTGTTGCAACAAAACTGACAAGACATCTTAAAGGCTGCAAAGTTTTATAAGGCATAACTTTTATGGGCTATAACTAGAACACGTAACAGGTTATAATACTAGACTTGCAGTTAAACATATTACCATATTAAAACACCCATTGATTTAAAACCAAAAGGACATGAGGGGAAAAAGTTTAAAAAAAAACCAAAGTCCTTACTTCTTGCTATGTTGTGACACACAAACCTCCTTCTAAAGGACCACAAATTGTCCAAACTAAACACACCTTGCCTAATGGATGGATGCTGATGAGTGTCCCCTACCAGGACGAAACTGGCTGAACCACCTGAAGGCCACTGAACACACTTCAAACTGAAGTAGGAAGATCAAAGAATAATCAAGTAAAATGGGGCTACTTGGATACAGGACACATTATCTGTGGCTGTGGAGAAATTCAATCAAGGCAGGATTTGTAAGCATTCAATTTATGCCCCATCATGTGTATTAAAGAAGATACCAAATGGCTGAGATATTGCCATCGAAGTAGCCCAATTCTGATCAAAACCAGTCTGATTATTTTAAGGATTTATTTTGTTCTTAATTTTACCTATATTTCATATGTATCCATAATTTTAAATCAGGCAAAGCTCTGATACAAAGAAAGAAAGACCCCAGAAGCAGTGCACAGGTAAAGTGGAACACGTGGGCAGCAGGTGACGTATTCAGTGCTAGGGGAGGACGCCTGGCCTCCACATCCAGAGCCGCCCCCCCGTCACTCAAGCAAGTCTGCTGACGGGCGCCCTACCGATGATGGCCGCCGAGAGGGCATGGGGGACGAAGGGCAAGCCATTGTCGTAGGCCTCTTTGAGGATGTAGACCGTCCGGTCATGGTGTCGGTTCTCCCGCAGGATGTGGTGGAGCTCGGTCAGCACCTGCACCCACTTCCTCATCTCGGCCTCGCTGTCCGCCAAGAAAAGCGTTGAACTCGTCGTGTGAGGGGAGCTCAGCTGAGAAGACGTGACCTGGGGTGGGTGGGAAACAGCTCATTGTTTTTCTCAATCTTTTTCCATCTGCTGAGGGACCTTGGCGGTAGCATTAGCAACCTCAACCATCCGAGACCCCAGTTCCTGTTGGGTTACAACTCCCACCACAGCCCAGCACCGATTAACGTCGCTATGCGAGGCACCACTGTATAGGCATTTATACAGTGGTGCCTCACACAACGGGTGCCTCACACAACGATGAATTCACACAACAATGCCTTTTTCTGTTAAATTTGCCGCCTCACACAGCGATGTTTCCTATGGGGGATTTTCACACAACAATGTCTCTTTTTCGTTCCTGTAAAAGTGTCTTACAATGTTTGGAAGCCGTTTTAAATGCTTGCAATGGTTAGCCCACCTCCTGAAACCTAGGCAAACTGATTTTGGTGTTGTTCTGACACTT